GGGTGGCGACTTCTTATTTTCGGTACACTGCATATTGGCGCCTTTACTGTATCTAAACAACTGCGCTAAGTATTTTAAGACAAATGAGTGCATTTTTAGTCATTTTTGAGAACCTTTTTTTTCCGCAGATTTGTTCAGGAACTTACTGGTATAGTATTTTACTGTGATCAAAAGTTGACGTACCAAAAAAGTATAATCTTTCTGAATTTTAACAACAGAAATGGACATAGCTAAGTATTTTAAGACAAATGAGTGCATTTTTAGTCATTTTTGAGAACCTTTTTTTTCCGCAGATTTGTTCAGGAACTTATTGATATAGTATTTTACCGTAATCAAAAGTTGACGTACCAAAAAAGTATAATCTTTCTGAATTTTAACAACAGAAATGGACATAGCTAAGTATTTTAAGACAAATGAGTGCATTTTTAGTCATTTTTGAGAACCTTTTTTTTCCGCAGATTTGTTCAGGAACTTAATGGTATAGCATTTTACTGTGATCAAAAGTTGACTTACCAAAAAAGTATAATCTTTCTGAATTTTAACAACAGAAATGGACATAGCTAAGTATTTTAAGACAAATGAGTGCATTTTTAGTCATTTTTGAGAACCTTTTTTTTCCGCAGATTTGTTCAGGAACTTACTGGTATAGTATTTTACTGTGATCAAAAGTTGACGTACCAAAAAAGTATATTTTTTCTGAATTTTAACAACAGAAATGGACATAGCTAAGTATTTTAAGACAAATGAGTGCATTTTTAGTCATTTTTGAAAAACTTTTTTTTCCGGAGATTTGTTCAGGAACTTAATGGTATAGTATTTTACTGTGATCAAAAGTTGACATACCAAAAAAGTATAATCTTTCTGAATTTTAACAACAGAAATGGACATAGCTAAGTATTTTAAGACAAATGAGTGCATTTTTAGTCATTTTCGAGAAACTTTTTTTTCCGGAGATTTGTTCAGCAACTTAATGGTATAGTATTTCACTGTGATCAAAAGTTGACTTACCAAAAAAGTATATTTTTTCTGAATTTTAACAACAGAAATGGACATAGCTAAGTATTTTAAGACAAATGAGTGCATTTTTAGTCATTTTTGAAAAACTTTTTTTTCCGGAGATTTGTTCAGGAACTTATTGGTATAGTATTTTACCGTAATCAAAAGTTGACGTACCAAAAAAGTATAATCTTTCTGAATTTTAACAACAGAAATGGACATAGCTAAGTATTTTAAGACAAATGAGTGCATTTTTAGTCATTTTTGAGAAACTTTTTTTTCCGGAGATTTGTTCAGCAACTTAATGGTATAGTATTTTACTGTGATCAAAAGTTGACTTACCAAAAAAGTATAATCTTTCTGAATTTTAACAACAGAAATGGACATAGCTAAGTATTTTAAGACAAATGAGTGCATTTTTAGTCATTTTCGAGAAACTTTTTTTTCCGGAGATTTGTTCAGCAACTTAATGGTATAGCATTTTACTGTGATCAAAAGTTGACATACCAAAAAAGTATAATTTTTCTGAATTTTAACAACAGAAATGGACATAGCTAAGTATTTTAAGACAAATGAGTGCATTTTTAGTCATTTTTGAGAAAAACAATGTCCAGAGATTTGTTCAGGAACTTAATGGTATAGTATTTCACTGTGATCAAAAGTTGACGTACCAAAAAAGTATAATCTTTCTGAATTTTAACAACAGAAATGGACATAGCTAAGTATTTTAAGACAAATGAGTGCATTTTTAGTCATTTTTGAGAACCTTTTTTTTCCGCAGATTTGTTCAGGAACTTATTGGTATAGTATTTTACCGTAATCAAAAGTTGACGTACGAAAAACGTATATTTTCTCGGAATTTTAACCACAAATATTGACATAGCTAAGTTTTTTAAGGGTTACCACCTCTAAATCGACAAAATAAGGGGACCAGTAGCAGGTTTGATTGGGTAGAAAGTAGAAATAACTCACCACCACCAAACAGATTTTCCATCACTTCCAGCAAGTGGCAGGACAACAGCCTTTCTCAGCACTATGAATAGGACGTTTCTGAAACACATTGGTAGAAAAGAAGCAACCAAATGGTAAAACCTAGACTGTAACAAGATTCAGTAGCCATGAACATATATTCTACATCGTTGTGGAACTTTATACAGCTGTGGGCTCTTGACCTGAATCTCACTGGAGATTTGAGATTTTCTGCAGTCGGTTAACCGATATGAATGTTCATACTGCACTATATGGTAAACACTGGTAACTTATACTGCAGTAATTTGAGCCAACTCAGCTTCATTTGGTTTTCTGTTGTGTTCTTCTGTTTGTGACTCACGTGCACCGTGTTGTCTCCCATCAGATTCACGACGACGTCCGACAGAAAAGCCGTTTCCACACCAATTGCAGAATGCTGGTTCATAATCCTCACCCACCGGTCTCAGTCAAAGGGTGGCGACTTCTTATTTTCGGTACATTGGCGCCTTTACTGTATCTAAACAACTGCGAATTTCAGACGCTAAAGTGCGTGCGATGGTTGTGAGCGAGCGGTTTGGTTGAAACACCATTCAGCCTGTCAGCTACCGCCGTATCTCGGAAGTATCCAATCATTGCTACGGACCACACGGATAGACTGCCCACAGACGACCAGGTACAGAAAATAGTTTATTTTCAATGAAGTTATGTCCAACGAAAAAAATGTCGAACGGGGGAAAATGCTCAATTTCCGTGACGCCGGACAAAGGCTAAAATTGCTGTGGCGTACAACGTAGAGCGTTTTGTTTTAGAAAAACACGCATTACAAACATATTTGGAGTCTAAGTAATTATTTATTTCTGGTTAAAATGGCTGTGAAAGATCAAAGAGCAGAAAAATGTAAACAAGCGTTAAACATAAGGCAACCATGAAATCATACTGAATATGGTTGAAACAAAAATCCAATAAAATACTTACACCTAATAAACATTATTTTCTTGGACATGTTTAACTTTCTGTGTATATTTTACGAATCGATACTACCAATAAAAAGTTAAAATGTAGTTGTTATCTTTCACCACAAGGTGGAGTCTTGAACTTAAATTTGAAAAGATCAACTTTGGACAGACAGAACAACACAGTGACGCGGCGGTCTGTGAAAGTCTGTGTTAATGTAAGGAGATCCATTGAGTGCTGGTACCGCTGGTACCTTCCTACGTCTACTTCAAGAATCATTTGTTTGACTAAAAAAATAATAATAATAATAATAAAAAAACAATGAAAAGGTAAGAGAACTATTCTCTGCCCAACACTGACAGAGTTATTTTATGTACTCTTACCAGCAACCATTTCTTAGTGTTTGAACTTTTTTGACAGCCAGCCATTACAACTTTAAGGTGAGATATTACTCTTTTTTTATTGTAAATATACAATTATTTTATTGTATATTATTTATTACATATAGGGCCACAGTGAGAATTTTTTTTAAAAAATTATCAGAAGTTTGTTTACAGGAAGTCGTTATGTTACAAGAAAGAAAATCTGTAAATTAATGTAAAAAGTCTGAACGTTTCAGGAAAGAAAAAAACCTGTGGTGTTGCAGGAAAAAGTCGTAAAGCTGAAAGAGAAAATTGTGTGTTTCCTTTCTATAATATATTCTATTTTCTAATGATTTTAATTACAGGAAGTGGATGTGATACTAAGCTTGTCTAGATTACCAACTTTGTTCCTCACTCAGTCGTAACATTTTTTTTCCAGCTAGCCTGTTGTTTTTACGACAGAAGTTAAAGGTGCAGCTAAATAGCCACACCATTGCTAACGTTTGTATTGATCTCTAGAGTTTACTTTCAAGCTGTTTCTTACCAAAGCTGCTCTAACTGTAAGTGAAAGAGGACACGCTAGCTGGCTAGTCTAGCTAGGTTAGAAAATAGCTTCCATAATTCTAAGTTTATCTGTTTTCACATTTCCACTATATTGTGATAAAAGTGAAGACCCAGCTAGCCTTAGTTTCTTTGTCCAGTTACTGCGTTTCTATGTTTGTAAGAATCTTAAACTCTGGCGTTCATCTGTCCATTTTTAGATGTTGGGAAATGTTGAGAATGATAAAAGTCTTCCCTGCCGACCCTGGAGGATCCTCCCCCGTGTTAACTCCCCCACTGAAGGTCAGAGGCCATAGCTCCACTCTTGTAAAATTCATTTGATGTTTTACAGCTGTATGAAATTCCTCTGATCGACTTTGGTGAAAGTTTGATCTCTGTCAGATTTCTTCCTCAGAGTTAAAGGGGCCCTTCAACAGTTTTACACTGTTTGAATGTAGGTCTGACCAGCAGGGGGCTTTATGTAACAAAAATATGATTTGATTATTAATCACCCAATGTTGTGATAATATCATAAAAGTATAGTAATAATGGAATTCAAAGGCCATAAATAAAACCTTAGCAGTAAAAACATCTACTGGTTTTCTCACGTCAGATTTAGTTTAGTTTCAGTTATTTAAAGATTCAGTTTCAGCAGCAGAGACGGAAAGGAAGAAGGTCAGACTTCAATGAATGACCAGTTATTGGATCAGTATTGGCCAATTAAAAGATCATTCTTAGTTATTAGTGAAAAAACAAGCCATAGTTTTAGCCACTTCATAAAAATCTAAAGATGTAAAAACCCTGGCAGTAGATGATGAAGCAGTTGATCCAGTTCAACAGTTTTCTACAAACTATATCCTAAGTCAAGGTGTAAGTGTTCCTTAGCTAAGGCCTCTGATTGGTCGATGAACCTTGTTCCTCCTGGCAGCCTTGCCGCAATTTTTCTCCTGAAAGGCAGAAGTGAGATCACCAGCTGAGACTGTCCTTTCAGTCTGAGACAGCTGGGTCCACCTGGTGGACAGCAGTCATGTGACGTCCCTAAAAAGTGGCATCCGTGAAGTCCCGTCTGGAAAATCCTTTCTGAAAAACAGAGACAAACAAATGCAATTAGATAAAAATAAAAATCATGAAAATATTGTTTAAAAAAAGAAGTCCAACATTGTTGTTAAATTTATTTAACTTTAGTTGTTTGTTAGTTGTTTATCTTTTGAATTATTTTTAATATGTGTATTTATATATGTGTCCAGAAGAGGGTGGTCTTGTTCTTTGCTCCGAGGAGGTGGGACTGAGGAATGTTTTTGTACAGTCACTCATTACAGTTTGAAGCAGCGTCTAGTTGTGAATAAAAAGTACTGTAAGGCTCTGACTTCTAAAGAAAGAGGAATTTGACACACACATATACACACACACCTGTGTCACGGCTGGAGGTCATAGTTCATCCTCACCCACATTCTTTCCTTCCCGACAGTCCACAGGATTCGCCCCCACAACCTCTAAAGGCTCACTCAGGTTTTTACTCTCTGTTGTTGTTCTTCTTCCACCACTGACCGTTCCTGGCTGCGTTTCTCTTTTCTTTTTTTCTCTTTTGTCAGAGTTGGTGTTAATGAGAGCTCACACTGTGAAGCTGATTCTGTTCTGTTTTGTCAAAGTCCAGCAGGAAGTAGCAGCTGCCGCCAAGACCAGCGAACCCAGGCCTGATTTATTCAGTCCAGGAGGAACAAGGCAGACCAACCCAAAACACACCTTAGTCACAGTCTGGACCGAGCCCAGACCCTGACCCTGACCCTGACCCTGACCTTGACCCAAAACCAGCAAAAACAACTGAGATTCAACCAAAACTATAATCAAATGTAATTCATGTATGAAGACGATTGTGTCTCAGTGTCAGAGGTGATTAAAGATCTGTTATAATAATCTGATTCTATCTATCTATCACACACCCCGCCCTCTACTAGTCTTTAGTGAAAAACCAAGCCAAAAAAACAACAGCTAAAATGAACCTGAACATTTTAGTCAGCAAATAATCTGTTCGATGTTAGCCAAAGCTTACATCAAGCAAAAAAAGAAACTGGAAATAAGATAAAAGGCTTTAAAGGTTAAATACACAGCAGCTAATTGCTAGCTAACAGTTACAGAATAATTCAGCTAACAAGCTAAACATAGCTTATTCGAACACCAGCTAACTCCAGTAAGGCTAGGTTAATACCACAAAAAAACTAGGCAAATGTTAGCTAAAGTTACAAACAAGCTAAATGTTAATGTCTGTCCTCTGTAAAAAAAAGAAATTTGATTTTTCTGTCTTTGTTTTCAAATGTCACTCAACACAGAGGAACTGCCCCGGCTGGGGTATTTGTTTCTTCACAGTCAAGAATCTATGGATGAGGCGTGGACGAAGACGAGGACTGGGACCAATTAGAGGAGAGCAGTGGAGGTCATATGTGACAAGAACCAGATGTTTCAGATAGAAACCACCGAAGCAGAGTGGTAGAGATAAAGCTGAGCCGACGCCTGTACCATCTCGTCTACGACTGCACGAGAAAACCTCATTTGCAGAAACTTTCACACGGACGAGTCGATCTAAAACAACGGGATCTTATTGTAGAGTTGAGTCTGGTCAAGGCTCATGGTTGTAGGAAAGTTAAGAAAAGTTTCTCAGGTCATCTTCAAGGTCGTTGACACGTTCAATCCTACGTCTGAGCGACGTTAGCTTGTATTTGAGCAAATGTTTAAAGCCCAAAAAGATGCTGATCTAGTTCTGGGTTTCAGTCACGTACAAAGAAGTGGGCTGTGACCTGGTGCCGAAGACAGTCCTCCAAACACCACGAGTTTAGACTCAGGGCTAAATCATCTGGGACAGTTACACATGAACCCAGGAACGGTTTAAAGCAAAACTGCATTTTGTATTCTCTCCAGAGGTTTGGAGCTCTCAAAAACCCGTTATCACTTTATTGAATGTCATTAATTATCTTAACCTCATCTCCTTCCTCACCACTTTGTAGTCTTTGTGCAGCTTGTTGTACTGGAACATGTTGTACAGAACGGTGGCGGCGGCTCGAGCACCTTTCAGACTCCCAGGGCTGAGGAAAAAACAATCAAAGAGACAGTGGGCGACAGAAGGAAATACCAGAGGAGAGAGAGTACCAGTCACTGATTACCAAGGGTTAAAGACCAGGAGTTCATCTGGAAGAAGGCCAGCAGGGGGAGTGGTAACTGTATCTGGTTTCCATAGTTACCCCAAGATAAATCCCTGGGTCTCACCTGCTGTCATGGAACGTCTTGATGCCCACTAATTTGGGCAGTCCGTTGTAGAAGGCGATGTCCCTCGCTGCCGCAGAGCTGTGGGACACCAGGTGGTTGAGGACACCACACAGGTTGGACACCACCTCACCGGACGGTGTCTTCTGGAGGCCGTCAGACGGTAGTTTGGACACAATGACGGAGACCACAGACTTGGCTGCAGGAAACAGAGCAACTGTCTTTTATTCAACTGTCTGTAGTGGTCTGGTGCCACCTGTCAGTCAGACGGTTCCGTTACATCATTTACTGTTAATTCAAAATGTGAAAAACATGTTTTATTTCCAGCTTCATAATTAACAGCAGCTCCGTGAACCGGTCGGACCAAACACTGTTTCTGTGGCGTCAGGTGGCAACACTCTGACAGTGAGCTGTGGACACGTGTCTCACCAAAGTGTTCCTTGTTGGTGGTGTGTCGGGCCAGATTCCTCAGAACACCCGTCAGAGGGCGGAGCTTCACCTCACTGCTGGACTCTATCAGATCCAGAAGGAGTGGAAGAATCTTCTCCTGCTCCAAGGCCAAGTTAACAAGCACTGAGGGCCACTGACACCACACACACACACACACACACACGTACACAAATATATTGTTGTTAATAACAGTAACAACATCATCGGAAAAAAAACTATTAAAAAATAAAAGTTTCTCTAGTTTCCCAAAAAATACATAGCTATATCATATTTTGTGATTAAAATGAAGAAAAAAACAATTTTTTTGGTCAGTCAAGTTTTGTGATAGTAACATACAATATTGATAATTTCCTGAGTCTTTAAAATGTAAACATTTTTCAAAAAATGAATAAAAATGCACTCATTTTCCCTAAAATACTTAGCTAGATCATATTTTAAGGTTAAAATTCTGGGAAATATATTTTTGTATCAAAGTGCGGTCCTCACCCAGGAGTCTCCTGTGGTGATGTTTTGCAGCGCCCCTATCGCAGCCTCGCAGCTGGTTGTGCTGACGTCTGTGTTTTGGATCACATTTTTATACAGTGTCAACACCTTTGGATGCCACAGCCATTCTGCTCCTCTGGGTTGACGGTTGATTTCAGACAGAGCGTTCAGGTTCTGTTTACGCTGTTGTTGGAACAAAGAAAAGAAAAACAAAGTCGGTGCTGCAGCAAGAAGTAAATCACAAATATTGACATGTGCTAAAACTAGCAGGTGTCAGTAGTTTCAAGAAGGTTAGCAGCACTACCTGAAATGCCACACACAATGAATAGAGCAAAAAGCTCATGCTAACATTACTCAATCTGAAAGGTCTAGCTAACATTACTAATGCTATTGTAGCTAAGCCATGCCAACTGAAGATAAAACGCTAATGCTAATTGCTAATGCTACTCAGATTGGAAAGCTACTGAAACTTTAGAGTTAGTTTCAGTCATTTTGCAGCTAAAGGTTGAGCACAAAAGAAGCTAACGTGGGGGACTAATAGGACTGAATCTACATCATATTTCTGTCGTCAGCTAGCTGAAAGAAGTTGCTGGCATTACTGAAGATAAAGGCGGTCCCTAACATTGCACTGAGTAAACTGTGCAAACAGTACTGGAACTCTGTGTCAGTACTAATTTCACAGAAGCTTGTGTTGTTAGCTAGTTGCTGCAGGCTAATATTCCTGAGGGTGGAATCTGATTCAAGGACTTAAGTACCTGAAGACTAAAGTCACTCTGTGTGTGTGTTTTTGTTTTTGTATGAATTTCACCTCTTGATGTTTTTTGTTGTAGACACTGAAGCAGCCCACAGGGTCGATGTCTCTGGACGCAGACGCTCTGCTCTTTCCTTCCAGACGTAGACGTGCCGACGGAGGGAGCTCTGAGTACAGCTGGTACGACAGGTTCCTCATCACGCACAGGCAGTTCTCCGAACCCTAATGTGGTAAACCGTTACATTCTACGATGTTACTGGTCACATGGTCAGTGGTG